GCTTGCCCCGAGCAGAGGGCCGAGGGCAGCCCGCCCTGGGCAGAGGGCCACGACGGCTCGCTCCAAGCCGGGGGCTGAAGGCAGCCCGACCTGGGCAGAGGGCCGCGATGGCTCGCCCCAGGCAGAGGCCCAAGGGCAGCCCGACCCAAGCAGGGGGCCTTGAAAGTCTGTTTTAATTGTCCCATTGCCACAGTGCTTGTCAAAACCAGTTCTGATTAATCTCCTTTGTCAGTGTGTCCTTTGCCATTCCCTATCACTCCTCCCTGAGAGAGACTTCAGCCTGATTCGTAAGGAAAAGGGGACAGCGTATTCTCTTAGCTACTTCCTGCTGAAAAGGGACACTGTAGGTTTCAGGGTGAGATCCTCTCTCACTCCTCTAAAGGGCCCCTTTGGCAGTAGGAAACACATAGACTATTATGGAGATTGATTTTGGAATTTAGATGCACTGTTATCAGTTGTGCTTAGCCGTACATGTTTATATCCTTGAAGATGTATCGTGGAAGTGTTGCAGCCTAGAAGACATAGATTTAACTAACAAGTTAAAAGTACATGAGTCAAAAATTAAAAGCAATAATATTCCAAGTAGAGGTTCGAACAGTGGCACAAATCAAGTTACAGAGGGAAGGTAGTTCTTAAAATAAAAGGCTTATTGACTAGCACTTTGTCTATTCTAGTATAAAGGTTAGGAATCACAAGATGTAGAAGCTCAATTATGTCATTTATTGTTCTTAAGTCCTGGACCAAATTCTATCTACCACTGGGTTGTTTTACAGCTCGGAAGTTTGCATGCAAGGCAGAGGTTTTCCGTCAATTCCAACAACTAAGAAATAGAAGAGTTGGGACCTCAGAAGGCTTTTAGGGCCAATTAGTAGGCTCTGTGTCCAGGAGAAAACTAATATACTTACCAGTGATGTGAATGCTCACCCACAGCTCTTCTGGGAGGATCTAAATAGTTGAAGCATCCTCCTTTGTTTCCAGCTGGGAGCTGGGTCCTGTCAGTCCTGTCAGCCATGAGAACCTGTGAGCTGCTCTTGGCCATGTGTCCTTCAAATCCACA